TAACATAGTATCACGACAAGTATCGATATGAAAAGACGGCCCTATTTCTACACCTCCCATATATAAGACGCATCGAGATTATAGATAATGTCCGTGAACACGAAATCTATCGATACTTTCAGGGCTCAACACCTTGTATTTCACCAACATAGTACCCTTTAGATCACATTTTAGAACACTTTGCAAAATTCCACTCTCATAACTTTTGTATCTTGTACAAATCCATCTGAATATCCTGTCGCACACCGTATACAAGACCACCTATATATGATACACCCCGCACGCATTCTATTACACATACCCTATAGGACACTCTATACAAGACACTATATAGAATATCTTATAGGATGTCCTGTAGAATATATTCTCTATGTATCTTGAAACCTTTCATATGGAATGCACTGATATAGAATACCCTCATGCATTATTGAATACCCTAGAGCTTCTGATACTTTCAGTCATGGCCCGTATATCTTTTGAATATCCAAAGTACCTTACAGAATACGACATAGAATACCCTACAGAATACTTTATGGAACACATAGTACCCTCTATATATCGCACTCCTCATGGAAGACCGTCTGGAATACTCCAAAGAAGACCTCACAGAATGCCCCTATGGCCCTATATATGACAGTCCATGTATACAGTATATGTACCTTGAACACATATGACACCGCACGCATTATATTACACATACGCTATAGGACACTCTCTACACGACACTATAGAATATCTTATAGGATGTCCTGTAGAATACTTTCTCTATGTATCTTGAAACCTTTCATATGGAATGCACTGATATAGAATACCCTCATGCCTTATTGAATACCCTAGAGCCTCTGGAATACCTTATCATATGATCAAGCCTCACTACACGAAAGTGTACAAGGTGAAGCTGCCGAACGGCAACTTTCTGAGTGTGAAAAGCGGCACGCAGATAATCGACCGCTTTTGGGACATTTGCGTAGCTTTTTGAAGCACACAGATCGCACTCCAGGCAACCAGGCCCTCACAAGGAAGATTCGCTCAGCCCAGTTCACCTACTGGTTTCGCTATGGCAACATGTGGAAAGCCACAGGTACCATGCTTGACTTCCTTTGGAACAATAGCTAGGGGAGCTGCCTTGCCTCTGCAAATGCCATCGCAGGCACCATTTTGATTTCGATGCTCCAGCGGTAAGCTGTGAATCGGCACCCAGCGACTCCTCGCGCACAAAACATCGGCCCGAAGCAATCGTGCATCAGTCCTGCTCCACATGGTTTGCCGAGACGTCGGACTCATGTTCGTACTGAAAGTAATTAGATCGTCCACCTCCAACAATCTTTGCCGCAGCATTCACGGTTCCAGCAAGAAACTTAGAGTAGAATGGTACCTGAATTCTGCTTCTCCAAACCCAAATTTTAGGGACACTACAGCACTTTAGGGCACTGGAGCTTCAATAGTGCTGTACTGTCCCTAAATTTGGCCTCTGCCAAACCCAACTTTTAGGGACAGTACAGCACTTTAGGGCACCTGGGTTTCAAAAGTGCTGTACTGTCCCTAAAATTTGGCTTTCCCAAGCCAAAAGTGCTGTACTGTCCCTAAAAAACCTAAAAAACCTATCCTCCAGAGACTATCGGCTGGGAACGCTTGAAGGTTGCTGGGAGATAGGTTTTTTGGGTTTTTTAGGGACAGTACAGCACTTTTGGCTTGGGAAAGCCAAATATTAGGGACAGTACAGCACTTTAGGGCACTGGAGCTTCAAAAGTGTTGTACTGTCCCTAAATTTGGCCTCTGCCAAACCCAACTTTTAGGGACAGTACAGCGCTTTAGGGCACCTGGGTTTCAAAAGTGCTGTACTGTCCCTAAAATTTGGCTTTCCCAAGCCAAAAGTGCTGCACTGTCCTTAAAAAACCTAAAAAACCTATCCTCCAGAGACTATCGGCTGGGAACGCCTGCAGGTTGCTGGGGGATAGGTTTTTTAGGTTTTTTAAGGACAGTACAGCACTTTTGGCTTGGGAAAGCCAAACTTCAGGGACAGTACAGCACTTTGGGGCACTGGAGCTTCAAAAGTGCTGTACTGTCCCTAAATTTGGCCTCTGCCAAACCCAACTTGTAGGGACAGTACAGCACTTTAGGGCACCTGAGCTTCAAAAGTGCTGTGCTGTCCCTAAAATTTGGCTTTCCCAAGCCCAAATGAAAAGGACTGCACAGCACTTTTCAACACTAATGCTTGTAAAATCAGATTGATAGTGACAGCATACTATTGTGCGTAGTGGTATATCAACAAACTTTTCCAAAAATACAAGTTATGTCATGCCTTTGGTTCCTTGGCGGTATTTTGGTGTTGGCACTCTGCCTCCCACTAAGCCATTGATTTCGGAACCAGATCCTGGTGTGCAAAATGTTCGATGTCAAGAGTTTGTAGACATGCTATGAGCAAAGTAGCTGTTCTACAGAGAAGCCGTTCCCGCTGGTATTTACAGCACGTTCTGCACATGGAGAAGGTAGGTTCGAAACGCTTGGTTATGAGTGAGAGAGAGGAACAGAGAGGGTGTGGATCTTGGCGGGGGGGGGGTGACCATATATATATATATATATATATATATATATATATAGATGTAAACCCTAAACCCAAAACCCCAAACCCCTGAACCCGAAACCCTGAAGCCCTGAACCCTAAACCTTAAACCCCTGCCCGTGAATCCTAAAGCCTAAACCCCAAACCCCTCGGATGCAGTCAGTTCACTCACGGGGGGCTGCAGCAGGACTGAAGTGTCACATGCCTGCCAGTCTGAGCGAAGCTTACATGCAAATATATGATGCTCAAGCAGTTTTGGTGCCTTGAGGTTTTTCCCACTCTTACCTCTCGGCATGGCAGGGCCAACTACATGGATGGTGAAGATGGAGCTGCTCGGCTGGGGATCGAGAGCTGCAAAGGCGGTCAACGACCTGGAACGGCATGGCTGGGACAGGATGACAGTGTTGGTACACGGACTGCCAACTGCAGAGAAGGACCGGTTGCATTGGCTTGCCATGGGCAACTATAAGCTCCACGGCAACTGGGTGAATCGCTTCCTGATGATAGCGACTTGCCCAACGGTGGTAGCCCTCACGGGCATGTCGAACCCAGAGAATCTGGCCAAGCACTCATATAATATATATATATATATATATGAGTATAATATATGATTCTTTTTATATACATTAATATCAATATATATATATATATATATATATATATATATATATATATAGAATATATAAATAAATAAATATAAATAAATAAATATATATGTTTATATTTATACATATATATATAGTATTATAATTATTATTAATTATACATATTATACATAAATATATATATACCTAGACCATCCGTTCATACGTTTATTTCCGTTCGTTTAGATTTCTGCTTGTTTTCCTTTCTTCGGGGAAAAAAGTGTGGGACAGATATTTCCGTGCGTGATATATTCGGCTTATGAATTGTGACGGTTAGGACTATATGTACTGCATTAATGGGTGGATTGCGAGAGGCAGGACGGTTCACAACTTTGACAGGCATCTTGTTGTGGTTTCTACATAAAAGGATGGATAGCGATAAGCAGGATGATTCATATATGTATGCTACAGGGGCATCCCTTATTAAACACATATATTATAGAACTTATATATAAATAATAAAATATAGCCTATATAATATTCAGTCTCTTCGAGGCTATAGCAACAGCTAGTGTTGCTTCGACAACCGTATATGTGTATATATGTGTACATATATATGTACACATATATACACATATATACATATAGAGATAGTGTATATATATATATATATATATATAATATAGATGGATCTTCATGCCCTACCTGCTGCCGGTCTTCATCCTCTCGATCTTTTGGCCCGTCGGAGTCTCAGGCACTTCATCCGAACTCTTTTGCCCACTGCTTGTGGTAAAGCAAAAGTGAAATCCGCATGGTACGGATAGCGCATGTCACATTAGAACATCGTCGGCTGATTCGTGCGACCTTGCCAATGAAGTCTTCATCTTGCCAGCAGTTCATACCTAAGGTAGACATGTATGATAGCTATCGATTGGTGGGTGCGTCGGGTTTGTTTTGGGGTAATGCCGAATATGCTAGATTGCAGGATAAGTCTCAGCGCGGGTTCCATACCATTGCAAGACCTTGCTCGGCTTGAACTTCGATGTCACGCCTCATGCAGAAGTATATGGCTGCTACTTGTAGGCTCGGCCAACTAAGTAAAGACTTCTACAAAAACAATGAAGCAAGCCGAGAAGCACAATGTGCATAAACATGTGTACCTTTGGTCTTACCTTGAAGAGGAGCCATCTTCGTTGCCATGTGTGGAAGGTCAAGGCACCGGCTCCTTCCTAGGTTGATGCAAAACTCAATATGATGTGGTTGTAAAATCGCAATGACCTTTAACAACATATGTAATCCATTATAATCTAGCTAGTGCAGCAAGAGTACAATCGCACACCATCCGTGACGGGCAATCTTTCTAGCCTCCCCATTCGGAATCCACATAGCATGTGCAGACAGCCCACGAAAGAAAGCATTGATATGCTCAAAAGTCCATCGGAGGAGCTCGTAAAGCTCCCTGTCTCCCGCAGCCTACAGCCGATCGAATGAGGAGAGATAGGATTAAAATAATCTGATCATGTATAGGGCGGTTACCAAAGATACGGACTATATGGCTCAGAAAACAATTCTTTGAGATCCTCGGTTATCGTTGAGCAAGTCCTCCAACCACTCGCAGAGTAGGACTGTATCGGAGCCCTTCCCCGCCCCTTTGGGAAAGCACTGCAACCTCAGATCCATTGCTAGTAGGTACCAGGCATGTGGCTACATAGTACTGTAGGACCTCTATAATTAGCTATACGGATTCAGAGGAATTGTACAAATTATGCCATAGCAAACTGGTTTCCATTATTGCCACAAACAACTGTGGAGCATATGTAACCCATCATATCCGAAATGTTCCTATCTGCAACTCAGGTCAGTGGCGTCTTCATCTTGAATTTCAGCAAAGAAAATCCATCGAGGCTGGTGGATTTGCCGGCTTTGGAGCACCAAGCGATGAAATTATCGTACATGGCATCAAGTCTGTCCTGCGTAGATCTGCCAGCAAACAGTTGCAGCCGCGAAAGCAAAACGATAGCCGAAGTAGCCGTTGAAGAGCCGACTCCCTGAATATGGAATGTGTGGACAGGGTCAGTTCGAACTCTCCAGGGGTCCTCAGCTCCTGGGATGTTACGGAGTGGGCTTAGCTCATCCTTCCAGGGATCTTCGGCTTCATCAATGACGTCTCTTGTCCACTGGCGGATGTCAGATGTGGAGGTCGAGTTGTACCAATCCTTCCATGCCCAAAAACAAGCAGTATCATAACTAGGCATTTATCATAACCCGACCTCCTGCTCACAGAAATGGCACACTCGGTTGCTCGAGAAGCCAGTGATAAGACAGTAGGCTTTTCGCAGCCAAACCCAGTCGCCTTTGCACCCAAGCCATGCCATGTTGAAGTGGTAGGGTTGGCCTGCATATACGACCTCAAGTGGCTAGCTCCGAAATAATATTCACGACCCGCATGAAACCATTATAACTGAAACCCATGAGCCCAAACAGTATATCTGCAAAACTTAATCGGTTGGCCAAGCACATCCAGACCTTCCCAGAAAAGAGAAGCACAATCAACTGCCAAGCTCTCCAGCAACTTGAAAATCGTTGTCTCCCCATTGTAGCAGCGAGCCGGTATCGCTGTAAAGAGTAAGCGTGAACAAAAGCTGTGCCTTACATGCGAAGCAGCGGCCAAGCAATAGCAGGAATGTGCACTAATCATTATAAAACCACGATTGGTAAATGTAGACGAATAGCCCACTTTCGTTCAGCTTGTGCTTCCCAAAATGGGAAAGCAAGCCTTGAAACGACAAGATCATCACAGGCAATTTGGATCTCCCACGGCCTTCGTCACCGTGCAAGAAGTACGGCAATGTGCACGTGCGATCCAGGCCCTCCGTAAAGATTGGGTGGCAGGGGTCTACTTTCTCATAGTTGTCCCAAAATTCCTGGAGATCACGTTGCCATAGATGACTTTGGGTAATATCATGTCCGCCCAAAAGCCTGGCATAATTACTCGAGATCACTACAAACAAAGCACTCCCATAATCATTATATCACTCAATTGAAATATCATATACATATATGTATACATATACAGTACATGTATATATGTATGTGTATTATATATACTATATAATGATTATGGGAGTGCTTTGTTTGTAAACTCCTAGGTGGCCGTATAGAATGCCTGCTCGAGGTTCCCGGAACCTACATAGGGGATTTTACATAGTATATTAAAAACAACCATAGTGAAAACTACTGATGGTACCACTTAGCGACATGCGTCCGCCTTGTTGTTCAAAGATGTGTTTGGCCCAGTCGGATAACTTCATAATAGGCCACGGTATCGGCTTCACCTTTCTTGTCCGGGCATGACGGATGGAAATCGTCTCGTATGATATCTTCACAGGTAGTGTGAATCTCGGATTGGATAGGAGTCGGTGTAGGTTCCGGCAGGTGTTGGCATCGGTTTTGCCGGCGCATTTGCCCAGCTTTTTCAACGTGCAGTCGCGAAGCCCTGCAAGCCAAGCATATTCGGAGGTCTAAATAGCAAAATTAGGAATACCTAACACCCGAACTATTGGCAGCACGGCTCTAGCTATTCTAGATTAACATAGACATAAATATAATCCCGAGTATAGCTAGAGTACAATCGGAACACTTTGAGGCCTTGTCGCTCCAACTTGCGGTTGGCTTTCATGGCTAGACGACATGTCCGGGCAGCTGAGTCAGCCTTATTTGGGATCCCCGGTCATCACTACAAAGTAGCCAAGTGACACAATACATAGTCATACCCCCCTAACCACCCCAGCTCCTACCTATAGTCTCCAGTGCATTTCCGTTTATTATAACCACTCGTATATTCTACGATCCTAACCTTATACAAAACTTGGCTAACCAAAAAGGAACTAGAATAGATCGATACTATATGTGTAGGTCCTATACGAGAAATACCCAGTCCGTCAACAGTTCCAGCAACACAGACAACATGTAATGTGCCAGCTTTACAAGTCTACCAGGCAGGGGACCCCAGAAGACAGTCCCGTCAGCAACTCATCCACGAGGCCATCCTCTTGGTCATCGCACGTGGTTGCAGGACCTGGGCAATCAGGGGCTATGATCAGCAGGGAAGATGCATTGCGTTAGTTAATGAGGTCCCTGCGCGTGTCAAAGCATTCCACATCCAAACCTGCGAAGGGGAAGGTGGAGTGTGAGGATACAAGCCATAGATACAAGCCTGCAGTTGAACCGTTCCAGAGTAGCCTAGGATTATTGCAACAAGCATTGAGCGGGACTGACCATGTATAGGGTTTGTAGGCAGTGTGAAGCAGCATTGATCCCCCGATGTCGGGCCTTTTGACTCCACACGTGTGCATGGTAGCGAGCGATTTCCCAGGGCCGGGCCATGCTGTGATGTGCAGCAGACCGAGCCGACTAATTTGTCCAAACACCAAAAGCTCATGCTACTCCGAGCATGGTTGCATATGCACGAACAGCAGATGTCTTCGACACTTCAGTTCTTTCTTCTGCGCTTGTTGGATGCAGGAGCCGCCTTTGCAGCGGCCGCTTTCCCTTTTGCCTTGGCCTTGGCCTTCGTCTTGGGTTTGCTGGGGGTGGCCGCAACACTGGATGCCTTGCTGACAGTCCTCGGGGAAACAGGTAAGTTATTTGCAACGGGGTTTTGCGCATGCGTTTAGGCGTTTAGGGTTTAGGGCATATATGGGCTTAGGGTATACGAATTTTAATAGGGAGGGAATCTCTCTAGGGGAATCTTAGCTTAGAGGGCCTATATTACATGTTGCGGCACAAGCTCTTCGATCGCACAACGTAGTTGTTGAGAGCAAGATCAGACTTTGTGCACCTGATGTAGAGCTGCAAAGCCGCCTTCTTCAGCCTGCAATTGCACAAGCCTGAAGCCATAGAAGCCCTCTATATTATGACCCCTTTGTACTTATCTAGATTAGGCGCTTTTTAAATCCCCAACTCAAACCATAGTAAAAAGCACCTTAGTTATCTTGCCTGTTAAGCTCTTCTTCGTTGTTCGTAGTTGCCGCACTGGCTTGCACATCCGTGAGCTCTTTGTAGCAGGTGTTCATGTCAGTCAGACAGCAGTCGAGATTCTTGCACAACCTTGGAAGGGGACGGGCTTCAACCTAGAAATTAATAAGGTCCCGTCACAATAACCATAAGCTAACCATATTGTACAATTTAAGATGCTCCGAGGCTTTGCCCATCGGCTTGCCGCCAGCAGTCTTGGCCGACAGCTTGTCCTCGAGGGCAAAGGATAATTAGATTACTCGGGGTTTATAGATGGGGAACCCTTGTGTTGTTGTAATGTATAGCTTATAGAAGCATATTCGCCTAGCCGCATAGCTGTATACTGTATAGGATCGTCTCTTATCTAGCCTGATATTTCATTACTTTAAATATCACAGGGTTTCGTCCAGTAGCCGCACAGCCCTTGGACAGCTAGAACCGATTCGCCACAAATCCCAAGGCAACCCCAGCCATGATACAACCATATATATATATACCCTAACCCTAAACCCTCCAAACCCTAAACCTATACAAAGTCCTACCGGGCACTGGAGCCCTGCCTAATTAAGCAAAAGGGCTTATATATAGTACAGCTGGCGATTCCAACCTTCAGAGATTTGGAGATTTTTGGATGTTTTATTTGGGAGCTTCAGGGGGATCGGCGATTTCGAGAGACTTGAAGATGGGGAGTTTGACAGGGGTTTTGGGATGCGTATGATGTGGGTAGTATACGTACATTTATCCAAGCTTTCGAAGACTTCGTCACATTGTATTGTTTTCGGAGATTGAGAGGGTTGTTGGGGTGCACATAACATGGGTCTAGATATACGAATGTATACATTGCATAGTCCATTATAACTATATCATATCTATCTGTAATTTTATACACCCAGCCCCCTATATGTCAATGCGTAATGCTAGCGAGTTGTGGGGTGCAGGTGCCGAGGGATGGGGCAGTACGGGGCAGGGGTCCTTCAGCCTCTCGGATCCTTTCAAATCAATGGAAATCCACACTCACTGAAAGCCCAGTGCCCTTCAACTGATATATATATATATATATATATATACAGTAGAAGCCAGAAAGTTGGGACATGGATTTAAATTAGGACGATTAATGCTAGGATCCCTTATACTTTACCTTAAGGGCATGGGGAAAATGATGTTCCAACTTTCTGGCTTCTACTGTATATATATATATATATATATAGATGATATGTACAACCCTGCATGTATTCAAGCTAACCAGCTCAAGGCAACCCATCGAAGCAAGTCACCAGCCTCAGGAGCATCGTGTAAATAGAAATATTATAGTTGCCCTGGCCCACCATCTCGACCCCTAGAGCAATTACGCATAGCGGACTACCATGGGGAGGACTAACTAAAGGAGGTCTTTTGGCCTCTCCGACCCTTCTAATCTTTATAGGAACTCCCTGAACTCAATACATGCAACACCTTGGTAACAGCCAGCCCGAACCCCTAAAATGACAACCTCACCGAAGCTACAAAAAATCTGAGGTAGCTGAAGCACCAGGTTAAGGCCCTCTTCGCGCTTTAGGGTTTATAGGGTTTAGGGCTTTATAGGGTTTAGGCTTATAGGGCTAGGGCTTTATAGGGTTTAAAAGGGTTTAGCAGGGATAGGATTTATAGAATGGCTCCTTCTCTTTTTCAGCAAGATCGATCTTCTTGCCGAGCACACAGATGTAGGAGGACAAGAGGGTAAGGGGCGAGGAATTCTGCTGCAGGCTGGGGAAGCACATCCTGGGCTGGGTTGCACGGGGCCATTACTAATTGGATGTATTCTTTGGGTTTGGGGCCGGCTTGCGCTATCCGAGATTCTTGAAGGAAGCTCCAGCCTGGGCTGTAGCCACAGAATCAGAGGGCTTCTGGGCAGCCGATATGCTCGACTTGCCCAGGTCCTCGTTCTTCTCATCCAGAAGGGCACCGTCTGGATCCTCAGCAGATCGGGTTGCAAGCTGAAGACATGCATAGGACAGAGAGGAAACATTCCCTATCCAAATTGTACGGCTAGGAACTTCCATACTGAAGGCACTGTTGAAGCTCGTCTTGTTGCCTGTCTCCTTGGTCTTAGACCAAAGCATCTCGAGTGGGATATCCGCTTCCTCTTCGCCATGGATCTCAGACTTGTAGACTCTTCCATGGCGCCTTGCCCAGTCAAAGGCATTATCCGCCATGGTCCTCGGGAACGACATCGGAGGCAGGTTTCCGCATGGCTGTCATGGGGTGTTATACTTTATAGGGCTATAGCAGGGTTAGGGTTTAGGGGGTTAGGGGCCAAGGGTTTATAGGGTTTTCAGGATCGTTATAAAAACTCTGGTGCGGGAAGCGCACGATGAGTACTTCCGCACATCGATGAGCCACTGCTTCGTGACCGTACCGCCGTTCTCCTGAGACTGCTTCTTCTGGATGTGCCACCTCTCCAAAACTCCCTCGATTTTGTCGAAGGACCCATGCTCGAGGAGCAGCTTTCGTAGCTGCTCACCTGATGATTCACAGAATAAAACCAGAGTAATTATTGTAGCCGTACATTGCCGATAAGTTTCGTCCCTCGCTTGAGCTGCCCATCTCAAGCACTCTCGGGGTGACCTTGACCTCTCCCTTGGCGTTGGGCATGAAGTGGCGACGAACCCTGAGCTCTCACTGATCCGATGAAAGTATTAAATGCATGCATACCCAGAATTGCAGTTGCACTGTTTCGACAAGTAGCTTCCAGTAGCCCTCGGGCTTTGGTGCAGCTTTGGCAGTGGGCTTCGACTTGGGGCTTCGTCTGTTGCTTGCGAACAACTGTTTCCTGATACCCGGGTGTCGGGCACTATTTTGGGTCAGCACACTCTGTTGGGGTGAAGTGGAGCTGGGCAGAGTCCCGGCCGGGCTGTCCTCAATATTGACGGTCTCAGAAGGGGAGTGCTTTCGCGGGGTCGTGGCGATCTCTGTGGGCTCACTGAGCCCAAACTTCGAGGATGCCCGGAGCATCTGTTCGGTGTGGCTCCGGCCTAGACTCTTCTTGGCATTGCCGGCCTCGAAGTTGCCACTGGCAGTAGCGAAAGCCGGAGCACCTGATGGGTCGGAAAGGCAATGTGTTACATGACACACACACACACACATACCCCTACCAACATATAGCCTGGTTGAGCAGCTGGGATGGGCTCGGGGGCTGTCTGCGACAGCTGTTGCTGAAGCTCCTGGAGGTTGGCTTCGGCAGCCTTAGGTCGTAGGTGAGTAGGTGAACCCATGAAACAAGTCATACATACTGGTCTATCGTCGTGTGTTGTAGAACCATAGAAGATGACTGCAAGCAAAGAGCCTTGATCTGATCATCTAGTTCGGAGTCTGGGATCTCAGACATGTTCGTCCAGGATCGAGCTACCATAGCCACTCCGTCCGAGAGGGTTTCTAAGGACCGAAGGGATGCCATCCGCCACCCTTCTTAAAGCAAACTCTGCAGCACAGGTTGCAATAGATGGAGTTGGCGAGCAAGCTGCAAACAAAACACACTCAAGCAAAGCCCAGAAAACCCTAGACCCATAGCTCATTAAATTCCTGCAGAGACCAAAAAAGGTATGAGATACCTAAAAAGCGCGCGTGACAAAACACCACACATACGGATTTCTAAATTGCGCGAGAGTTGCGGGGAATTGCGCGCGAGTTGCGGGAAATTGCGCGAGAGTTGCGCCCCGCAGGCTGCCACCAAATCAGCCCAAAATAAAAAACGTTCGCGAACCTAAAAAAACGTTCGTGATCTATTTGCCTTCTCTACACCAGAAGCAACTGCACCCTTCTTCCTGGCAGGCTGCATTCCATCCGGACAAATGCCTGGCCGGAGCCCTGTTGGCTTCTTTGGTTCACCACTACTCAGAGCCCCCCACAAGTAGAGCAGCATACTCTGCTCGGAGATCAGGATAGCAATTCACCTTTGCATGTGGTTTATCCATATAGTACTATATATAGGAACAGGAAAGTACAATTAACAAACACCGGTGCTGCAATATCGTGCACCCAAGAAACCTTGGCATCCAGTTCTTTATCAAAGAGTTCGATTTGGGCTGCCCACGAAGGAGGTATCACCAGATATCGATTTCGTCTGAGGTAGAAGTAGACTGAAGGCAGGTTCGCATCTTCCCACAAATCTCCTGTTGGTAGGGCACCGAATAGCTCCACATCCGATAAGTCAGGGTTCGTATCGTTTTTGTTGCGTAGGCAGCCCAAGTGAAGAGGTTCGGGATCTCTGGCAAAGGTGTCAAACAACTGCTTGACAAACTCCATTGGATAGACCCTCAGCTATAAGGGCATAGGGTTAGTTGAAACCACCCCCATGTAAAGACGAGGACCACAAGAACCCCATCCAATCTTCGGGAGAATCCAGCCAAGAACTAGTATAATTTGCATCAATTAATTAGCACCCACTTAGACCCTTGGAACCTGAACAAACCCTTGACCTCATAACCCCTAAACCTGCAGGGCTTTGGGGGTTTCTGGGTTTAGAGATATTTATAATAGGGCCTTATCCACCCCCAAACCCTGGAAGCTGAAGCCTTAAACCCCTACCCTAAACCCCTAAACTTGTAGGGCATTATAAGGTTTAGCTTGGGGATTAACTTATACTACTACTACTACTACTACTACTACTACTACTACTACTACTACTACTACTACTACTACTAGTACTAGTTAGTACTAGTACTAGTACTACTACTACTACTAGTACTACTACTACTACTACTACTACTACTACTACTACTACTACTACTACTACTACTACTACTACTATTACTACCACTACTACTACAGTGTGTATAGTAGTAGTAGTAGTAGTAGTACTACTACTACTATTTATTACGACGACAACTACTATTTCGATTCCTGGTGCTATAGTGCTAGCAACTCTATATACCATAGCACCACCACACAACTCATGTTAATCTATATAGCTAGAGTCTACTGTCAAGCCTTCGGGGACTAAAGGCTCACCTCTTTTCTGGGGTATATGGGGTGCAGTGATGACTTCTAAATGATCAGGTTCCTAGGAGCCAGGTAGGAGTGGGTGAATGACTCGGGAGCAATTGATGATGTCACTGGTGGCTGCAGAATTATTGGCATCACCAACAGCGGAAACGAATGGAGGTCATGCGGGAGTTGAACGATTCCCAAGACTATCGATGCCTAAAACTTTGCGCGACCCCGGTGGGTTCGGCGTCCATCAGAGCCATCGACTCCGGATCGCGAAGAAGTCCCAAGCAAACAAAGTGGGAAGACCGAGCTCGATCTGGTTTACAGAAGCAGCTGCACTTGGCATACGGACATTGGCCTAAGGAGCTCAGCTCTCCTCTGGGTGCCATTGTGGGGGTTTGTTGCAAGCGGTAGCGGAATTGTTCAGGGTGTTGCACACTTGGGGTTGCAAGAGTATGTCTATATACATATATGTATACATATACATATGTATAGGGCTTGCATAAGCTTATCCAAGTTCTGGGATGATATAAATAAACTACAGGGTTTTCCATATATCTTCTAGTATCATAGATCGGTTCGAGAAGCACCAATTCGTGCGACTAGTAGCAGCAGCAGAAGCAGCTGTAGCAACTTTGTACCATATATATAATGGAGTCCGCTAATCCACTTCACCGCTCTACCGATCTCCGGGAACCCTTATGAACCGATCAGTTTGACCCTATACAAAACCGGGGAACTACAATAAATATCTTCCTACACTTTGGACACCCAGCAACCCTGGTTACATCTGTCTAAGACACAGGTTGCACAATAACCGGTTTATCGATCACCCCCGGAGGCCCTCAAAGCCTAGATAAATAATGCCTGCTGAGAAACCCAGCATCCTTCAGGCTGCTGGTCGCGGTAAACCGCTCGACCCCGTCTGCATCTTTCCACCGTCCTTCGGCAAAGAAGGTTCTATATAATTAATTGAGTTGGGGATAAGTATAGGGCTTTCTCAGCTAATTTGCAGCTGAAGATCTGGTTGTGCGGACTTTGGACCGGGCTTGTTTCTGGCCTTTCTTCAGGATACCACGGTCCAGGACCCTGACTCGGGGCGAGTTAGAATATATTTTGGTGCGCTTCGGAGAGGAGCTTCCCCAGTGCATAAGCCAGAAGGCTTGGCTGTAGACCTTGGCTTCATTCGGGAAGATCTATATATCGGATAATGATGAACAAAAACCTGCAGGACTTCATAAATTACATAGCCGAGCTGCATAGAGAACTGAGTTCATGAGCCATTCGAAGCGATTGTGTCTATGGATTAGCGAACATATAGGATGCTCCAGAAGCCAGACAGTGTGCATCGCCGTCATCAGCAGGATTGCCAAAACAACACTTAGATACAAGAACATCTATGACGAATGCAGACATGTTGACTTGCACGTGCAAAACTGACACACTCTTTAGGCTAGAGTCCGGCTGATCATCGTGTTCGCTTTGGCCACACTGGGAAAGCCGTCCTGGCCCCGAAAATTTATAAAGGATCTGTGGCTTGTTCCTCGATTGGGCAGACCCCATGAAGAGCAAGATGGCCCCATCAAATTCACACTCGTCTGCTTCTCCCGCAAAATGCACCATAAGACCAGCCTTGGATTTTGCAACCCCTATAACTATCAAGACAGCAGACGATCATTAGCGGATTGCTCCGGATGCATCAATTGCCAAGGCTTAATTGGACCTGGTTGCACAAAGCCGGCATCGGAGAGGAAGTCCATCGAGGCGGTCTTCTGAATCTCAATGGTCGCGACTCTATAGCCTTTGGATTTCCTGGGCAAGGGGGTATCTAGGGTTTACCGGAATTAAACAGTTTATAAGGGTTTTCAAAGGGCATTGATTGGGTACTGCTCCCGGCCTGTAATAGTTTTGATAAGAGCTATATATATGTGTATATATATTATATATATATACTGTATAAAACCAACTATTACAGAGTGGGGGCAGTACCCAATCAAGTTTATATATATATATATAATATATATATTATTTAATTGAAAAGGGTTCCCCTGGGCCCGAGCAGCTATGTGAGCGAGAGCTGACACACATAAAATATCGCAAAGGCTCCAATATTTACTGGCATTGCCGACCCCAGAGAATAGGTCTAGAAGATCAAATGATTTTGCTTCAGGCAGGTTCGTTGACCATTGCACCAATAGCATCACAGCAATGAGAACCTAGGCTGGCAGCAGAAGGGACAACACAATTCAAGCCCCAAGTCATTATCAATTCCTTATATAATCTGGATAGACCAGATATTATCTAAATATCTGATTTATCTAACTAGATATATATACATGATATTTATAAATACGATTCCGATGTTAGCGAAGCAACCTTAGGCGCTCCAACATGAATCAGCCGAACAAGCAGAGACGAATCAGGCAGCTGTCGGCGCTTCATAGCTTCAAACAAATCTCAGGCTGGTGGGCCAGGATGCCGCCAACTTGTAGCATGTATGCCCTAGCTGCTGGCATTAGCTCAAGTAGACAGTCCCACGTCTTGAACTTATCAAAGGGCTGCACTATGATGGGCACATGAGCAGCACAGCAAGCAAAGCACGACAAAGGGCTCGTGAAGAGAGCCTTGTGCAGCAGCACGACGAGCCCAAGCCATCGTTTCACCTGTGACGAGCACTAGGAGGATCTGGTTTGGCTTAGGGTAGGGTTCGTATGGGTGGCTGTGCAAAATAGGATTCAGAAGGTTTATCAGATAGGTTATGTTGCACTATTTTCGCTGGGCCTAGAACAAGCCATTTGGAAGAAATCAAATCCAGGCCTTGCATGAAATCAAGTAGTCGCACCAATGGGATTACGGTTAACTTCCAAGCCGTATAGCAACAGTAGACCCCCAAGCCTACAACAACCCCCTACACTACACACTTTGCCAGCCGTGGCCTCTCCATCGATATCTTCGGCGTCCCAGCTGCTCCAGCCTGGCAAGCACACGGAGGCCCGGATTCGAGTTTGGCTACAAATTACAGGCCTTGACAGAAGAGTGCTGGGACTGCTCAAGAACAGAATGAAGTAGTCCACGAGGGATCCTGGAGAGATGAGAGTGTGATAAATTGAAATCGCAACAATCCCATCATACCTATCTTCGGAATACATACTCCTCACCCTCACATTGCATGGTTCAGAGATGCATGAGATTTGCAACAGAATGTGTAAAGAGTTTTGAGATTCTAGATACTATATTGTATGCATACACATCAGAGTCCTTGTCGTCACAAGTCGAAGGTATCGCCCACCAAAGTCCACAGATGACCTGGCAACGATAGGGAGTACGATGGTACTAAGCTCACACATAGTGCGGAATAGAGCAAGCGAAAACACCGACATTTTGGCACGAGACATCGCGAAACTCTGGGTAGCTCGTGCACGAGATGCACTATCAGCTCAGGTTGGCAACCGGCATTTCCCCTAGCTGGTCGCACTCCCGGGCCCAAAGTACGTAGCTGAAACCTACCGCACTGAAAAAGCCACTGAATCATGGCTGATCAAAAGGGCAGCTTCTGCAAATCATATCGCGATTCAGTCTTGGTCAGCATAAGCCTTGGATTGCGACCGAGCATATCGAAACCCCAACACATCTTGTTGCATGCTAGACTGCTAGACACATACCCACACAGACTCTCTCTCTCTCTGGACTCTCTCTCTCTCTCTCTCTGGACTCCCACTGTCGTTCTCTTTCTACCGGTCTCTCTACATCCTTGGCCGAGTGGCCTGCTTGGCTGCAGCAAGTGCTTCTTCTTGGGATTTGCCTGCCTTTAGGGCGAGACCTTTGGCCTTGTGATAGGCACAGCTCTTCCGACTCTTGCGGGCGGAATCGTGGCTCGGAGCCGCCTCCTTGTCCTGCTTTGCTTTGGCCTTTGGTGCCGGCTTTGCTTTGGCTTTGCTGGCTGCTGGCTTGGATGCTGGCTTGGCTGCTGCTTTGCCCCTGGGGGCCTTGGGCGAATAAAACTGGGTGTCTTGACTGCCGGGCACATCTGCCGGCGCTTTGCGCTTCCTGGTTGCTGCTTTCGACGGCGTGTCCGTGGGCTCAGCAGTTGCTTGTCTGCTTGCTTTGGTGGCTGCTTTGGCTTTTGCTTTGGCTTTTGCTTTGGCTGTTGCTTTGGCCGGTTTGGCCTTTGCTTTGGCTGTTGTGTTGGGCTGATTCCTGCTCCCTTTGGGGCGGCCCGGCTTCCTCTTTTCCTGTGCCTCTTCTTGTTTCGAATCCTTGTCGGCTCCCTGCTTCGGTTTCGAATCTGTTGCTTGCTTGTTCTCCTTCTTCTTCTTGTTCAGCTTGTTCTGCTCAGTTGGGGAGATAACACCAGCCGTAGACACCAGGGCAGGGCGATCATCACATGCTAGCTCTTGCTCTTTCGGAAGCTCTGGGCATGGCTTGCCATCTTCATCACCAGCAGGCTCCTCATCTTCTGCACATTCACTTGCCTTGCCATTTTGATCACCAGCAGGCTGGGGATCATCTTCTGCACATTTGTCTGTCATGTCATGGCCATCACCAGCAGGCTCATCATCTTCACATTTGTCTGTCTGTTCCTCTACAGGGGCAGCGGCACCTGCTGCAGGTTCATGCCTATCCGAATCTGCAAACTCACCTTCCTCTTGCTTGATGCCCTCGGTCTTGATCGGGACAGGCTCCTGCTTGATCGGAACAGGAATCCACGGCTTCTCCAAAGGCTTTTGCTTGATTTCTTCAGGTGTTGGCTTCGGCACTGGCTCGCGCTTGATCACAACCGGTGTTGGCTTCGGCACTGGCTCGCGCTTGATCACAAGAGGTGTTGGCTCCGACACTGGCTCGCGCTTGATCACAACAGGTGTTGGCTCCGACACTGGCTCGCGCTTGATCACTACAGGTGTTGGCTTCGGTACCGGCTCGGAGCTCATGATCGCTGTAGGTGTTGTCTTCTCCACTGGTGCTCGTTGGTTCCCGGATGCCGAGCTTCTCGACTTCTTGGGGGCCGGCCAGTCAGCAGTCGCTGTCTGGAGCCGCCTAGCAGCGAACTTTATTGGGGTTGCCTTTTCCAGGGCACCAGCCTCAATCGAAGCTGTCTCCTTCAATGCAACCTCCTGACAGGCAAGGGCTGCAGCCGTAGCCACTGCATCATCATCCATCACTTGCGTTTCTTGGGTCGACACATTACCTGAGGGCATACAAAACATGGCTCGTAAAGCAGTTGCACTTGCTGCACCCCATATACCTACTACCATTTGCATGCAGGGTGCCAGCCACATGAAAAGCGGAGGTCGCACGCTGGTGCTTTGCCGCTATTAGCTGGGCTAACTTCTGTTGCTGATCCCACAAAGCTTGGAGCAAAACACGCTTGTTCGGGTCACTCACCTTCTCGGTTGACGCTGGCGAGTCCACAGCAGGGCCTGCATGCTTTGGGGTCACGAGGTCCTCCGAAGAAGCACCGAGTGGTGCACTACCTGGAAAACACAAAGCAATCTGTTTCGGGAACAGCATATATGCATACATGTGAAACCCAAACACTATGATTGCAAAGCTGCTTGGAGACGGCTTGCCCGATCGCTCGGGGCACTTCTCATCTGAGATCCCCCCATCAGGCAAGGAGGTTTCCCCTGGCTCACATAACACCTCCTCATCATCGGTTTCACACTCCGATTCCGCATTTTCATAGCCGACCTGCACCATATATGACCCAAATGAAAGTATACCCAAATCACTCAAGCCAACCCCACCTCCTCATCTCCCAGCAGCTCCTCGTCCAGTGACTCCTTTGATCCACGTGGCTGGCGTCCTGGGAGTAGGGCAGGGAGGTATACATGTTCTTCGATACACTGTGTAGTCGTATACCGTATACTTGCCTAGTTGCAGACAAAGTACCCGGTGGAATCTCCAGGCCCAGGTGCAAATAGATTTTGCGAATGTTCTCTTCGTTGGGGCGGTGAGGGAGCTTGCATATCCGGTTGAACATGGATATCAAGTTTCGGACTCGCCAGCCTTGCAGACGACAGAAATCGCCTGGGTTAGGCATGACATGAATGGTACATGTCCATCCTGATATGAGCTAGGTCATGATACATGTACATCTTTGAGCCTAGCAGCCTGAAACAGGCTTCCTCCCCTTCATCCGGCACTTCTCAAAGAAAAAGGCAACCTCTTCTTCTAGGCGGTCCACAGAAGGCCTTGCCCCAAGGGCCCCCATAGCCAAGGCCACCACATCCCAATTGAAGTCCAGGTCGGGTCTCGTGAGTCTGCCCGGTGCTATCACCAGTCTCCCTGCTGATCCCCGTTCGGCAAGATGATCTTCTTTAAACCAATCAAGTCCCAGGCATGCCTTTTCCGAGTCAGACTCCTTATCATCGACCTTCCCCGAAGACATGGCGCTGAAGCAAAGCTGAATCCTATATGGTACCCAACTCTATAAAGCGACAGATGCATCTGAGCAGCTCACTGCACTCGTGCTGTGTAGCTAGACATGGCCAGCCATGCTCAAACTGTTTCATACATGATCGTCTATGTTGCACAGAAGCCAATGCTGCATGAACATCAGCACAGCACATCTATATGCGTGGTGTCGAACCACTAGAGAGCACGTGCACATCCGAAGACAGAAAGAGCAGATCACATGAGAAGCGAGCCAGGGTTGCCCGGTTTCATGAACTCCTGGCGGCCCCCTGCCAGGAGCTACAGGCAGTTCTATGTTGACAAGATGATCTTCATCCTCCTCCTATATATATATATGTGCATATATGTAGTACTATGAAGCTATATAGAAGGATATATGCCGCGTGCATGTGTCTATACATATAGCATAAAGACTTATATGTTTGTAGTTGAAGTAGCCCTAAAGCACATACCCATATTATACATATTCATATGCATATATACATACTGCATACATAAACATATACTATATAGGTATATCTATATGTAGACACACTTATGCTAAGGTATGTGCGTGTACAACCCCACAAACATTGGCCCGGCCTGGTGCGCTGCCACCGAAGTCGAGCTCGAGCACGAACTTTCGGCACAAGCAAGAAAACGTTCGACATGTTTATTTCCATACGTGATTACTGAAACCCCAGATTTCCATGCGTGACTTTCCAATGTGTGGAAGGTTAGCACACACACGGAAATAAACATGCGATTGGATGTTCCAGGTATATATATATATATATATATGTTGTTTGTGACCTTGTCACGTGAAATCAAACCTTTATCAATAACTATTCAACTTTCTGACATATTCTCCGTTTTGTTTCTTGCGGGTGGAGCTTAAGATGACAAGATTTTTGTTTCTCGGCATCTGAGGACATGCGACCGCTTCCTCGAAGCCGCTATGGGTTTTGCACTGGAGCACAAGCTATGCGACATCGTCATGGCCCTCGACGAGCTGCTGTTGTGCTTCGGGCATATGATCCCGTTCCTCTGTCGCTAGGCTGCATATTATATATATATATATAATAAATATATAAGAAACAGACAGATATATAAATATGTAAATACATATGCCATATGAACTGATTATAATTATAATAATGGTTCTTGTGAAGCCTATCTATATATGTACATAGCAGGAGCTTTCGCCTTTAGCTGAATTAATTTATGTATATATAGATATATACATATATTTCCCTCGGAGCCTTATCCAAGATGACGACATCAAGAGAATGGCGGAGCCCAGCATGTCTCAACTGGATCGGCTCATCCAAGACATGCCACTCGTGAACCAGAGCCAGGCCCGGCAACCCTACAGCTTATTTCTCTCTCTCTCTCTCTCTCTCTCTCTCTCTCTCTCTCTCTCTCTAAATAAATATATATATATATATATATATATATATGGCCTGAACCCTTCAGTCCTAAACCCTGAGCCCTGAACCTGAACATTGTACTCTCCCTGAGGTGGAGGTTTGAGCTGGCCAAAGTCTTCTTCACCAGGAATTTGTGGGGCACCCACCGGGAATAAAACCCGTGCCCACGGCTTAAGGCCTACCTCGGGTTTGCAAAGCCAGGAAAAGAAGTTCGAAAGAATGCTGGACGTTATATATATATATATATATATATATTGCATCGGATATGAATAATTTCCAAAGCATTTGGGAAATAACCTTGAAACTTATTCTAGGACTGATTTTTTACATACTTATTGATTGATTTTTCTGATCCTTTCAGCGAATCTGCATCGGATATGAATAATTTTCAAAGCATTTGGGAAAGAACTTGCAAACGTATTCTACGACTGATTCATTTTACATACTTATTTACTGATCTTTCTGATCTTTTCAGCGAATCTGCATCGGATATGAATAATTTTTAAAGCATTTCGGAAAGAACAAACAAACCTATTAACACATTTTTTGGACCATATATATTGATTGTTTGACCTGTATATCAACATATGAATATTGAGAAATACAGGGAATGACATGCATTTCCTGGATTGAATACATTTTATACATCATATATATTGACATGCATTTCATTCAACTTACATGATTGTCCAAGTCCTTGTATTTCCAGCACTTACACTAAAGGCCTTGGATTCTGAGGTCTTAGCAAACATGGTCACATTTGAGGTCTTCGGATGCTTAGGGTAAGTTAGTACGGTTTAGGGTTTAGGGTTTAGGCATTAGTGAAGTTAGGAGGGTTTAGGGGTTAGGGATTATAGTTAGTGGCCTTAGGGGTAATAAAGGTGACGGCATCATGTGACTCGGGGTTTTTGGGCCGCTGTGTCTTAACATGCAAGGAACTTGATTGAAGGCATTGTGGCGTTGCTTTAACTTCAGGCCCTTCTTTTCGTTATTTTGGGTCTAGAGTCCAGGGTCATAGGAGCCATAGGCCCACCAGTGGTTGATGGTCTTCTGATGATGGTCGCGGCACTCGTGCTGGTGCTGTTTGCCGGATAGGTAGATTCCAGATGAAGGCGTGCAAAGAAGCACTGAGGAATGGGAGCCGTCCAAGAATTTAATGGACATATATAGTATTGGGGCGGTTTCGCCGACAATATTATTCAGTGTTTGCAGGGGAGGGGGATGGTTCAATACAAGAAAAGCTCCTCGCACTCATTATGCGCTTGCTTCTACAAGCCTATAAAGCTTTATGCAAAACTAATATGCCTGTTGCAGAAGCAGTTCAGTGCACACTTATTCTGTGGGTTCTGAATGAACATCTATGATCTATGAATATCCCACCAACTAAAGTCCCCATTGCAGTCGAGGTACAGTTTGCTATGATACGAGAGCCTATTCCATGACAAACTCCTAAACCTAAACCCTTTACCAGCTATCCTAAAGCCTAGACCCTGGAAAACCCAAGAGCCCTAAACCCTCAACCCTACTAGACCCCAAAACCCACACCCTAGACCCTAAATCTCTACACCCTCAACCCTATACGCTAAAGCTCTGCACCCCAAACCCCTAAAACCCAATCCTTTAAGGCAAGCCTCAAGCCCAAAAAAAAAACTTTAGCCCCTATTAGATCCCTCAAAGGAACCCGTCTCTTCTGCTCGAGACGGTTTTGAGACGGTTTTCCGCCTGGAAGTAGTCCGCCTCCCATAAGGCCACCGCGCGACCGCGCCTTGCTGTGGCGCACAGCGCCCTGCCGCCTCTGCGGCCGCTCGAGGACCTCTCTTGGCGAGAGGTTTCGGAACGTCTTCAACTGTTGCGTCTGCAAGCAGCCAAAGCACTGGATGGCGGTGAATCCATCGTACGGGGCGACAACGAGCAGAACGCCCTGGCTTGTCGTTCGTCCTTGTGCACGGAAGAGAGCAGCCGAAGATCCAGGAAGAGATCCGCCTGCAAACTCAGCGTCCTCGACAGCACTTGACAGCACATTGTCACGAATTTCCTTCGTGGACAACCATGGAACAGTGATGATCGCGAAGGAGACATAAGAGAAACGCGAGATGCTCATCAGCAAAGGCTGGACACGGCATCTGTGGCCGCGAGTGCCACACCCTGCACTTGACCCTAACCCCTCAGCCCCCATAGATCCCTTAAAGGAACCCTTTGTGTACAGTACCCTTTACAGGAACCCTAAACGCCATAACCCCCAAAACTCTCATAACCCTTACAGCACCGGATCCTTTACAGGAGCCCTAAACCCTAAACCCCTGTGCCCCCCAAAACCCCCATAACCCTTGCGGTACCGGAGCCTTTACAGGAACTCTAAACCCCAAATCTCTTTAACCCTCAAAACCCCTGACCCCCAAAACCCGTATAGATTCCTAACAGGAACCTTTTCACCCCCAAATTCCAAAACCCTAAACCCCCGTAACCCCCAAAATCCAAAACCCTAAATCCCCGTAACCCCCAAAATCCAAAACCCTAAACCCCTATAACCCCCAAAATGCAAAACCCTAAACCCCTATAACCCCCCAAATCCAAAACCCTAAGCCCCTATAACTCCCAAAACTCCAAGACCCTGAACCCCCATAACCCCCAAAAACCCCTAAGCCCTCCTGACAGGAGGCCGCCTGGAGCCAGCTCTCCTCGAGCGCGAGGGAGATCGCTCCTCGGCGCATGGCTGGTGCTTGCAGGGGGCTTTTCAAGGGTTTGGGGTTTAGGGCTCCTTTGAAGGCTCCGGTACTGTAAGGGTTCCTCAAAGGGTACCATAAGGGTTCCTTGATGGGACCCTTCAAAGGGTACTATAATACAAGGGTTTAGGGTGTAGGGCTCCTTTAAAGGCTCCGGTACTACAAGGGTTCCTTAAAGGGCACCATAAGGGTTTTTGTTAACCTTGAAAGGGTACTATGAGGGTTTAGGGTTCAGGGGTTGAGGGGTTCAGGGCCCCAAAACCATAAACCCCTAAACCCTGTAGGCTTTGGTTTAAAGTTTTAGGGTTTTGGGGTTTTAGGGATTTAGGGTTTTAGGGTTTTAGAGTTTTGTAGTTTAGGTTTTAGGCTTTCAGGGTTTTAGTGTTTTGGGGTTTAGGGTTTGAGGCTTTAGGGTTTCGGCAATAAGTAGAGGGTCATAAGTTTTGGCCCAGTGACTGAGAATAAGTAGGGTGATCCTACAACCCTCTGGGTAGGGTCATAAGTCAAGCAAATGCATTATTTCAAGCCAGGGACTGAAAGCATGAGAAGGACCCCAACTGAAGTCAGTGTATAGTTAACAACGAAAAGCTGCTATTTTACGTTCATCGAGCCCTACTGACTAGTAACCTGATTTTTTGGGATATGTGATCTTAATCTGTCGAACCTGTAGGCTGTAGGCGCCGTAGTTCGTCTATCGGACACGAGGTGAGGTACACTACCAATGAGTTTTCGGCTTCCTTACAATGGCCTTGTATTCCTGGAATCCTTCCCCGACTTCTTGGCAAGTCTAAAGCTGAGCTAAAGCGCAAGCCATAATCCTCTAAATCCCACAGTCCCGCACA